GGGGGGGACAGAGAGCGAAGAGCAGTGACCATGGCAGCGCACGGTCTAGATATAATTCAAGTCAATGGAGGTACATGCACTGGGCTACGGAACAGCCCTCTAGAGAACGGGGAAAAAATGAGATTATCTTGATTATGATTACCCATCGACCTCCCAAGTGGTCCGTTTGCTTGTCGTCTGGTGTGAATTTCGCCCTCTATAAAACACAGAATGGGTTTGTTAAGCTGGAGACCCCCCCCCCCAAAAAAAAAAAAAAAAAAAAAGATTTGAGGAAGGAAAAGAGCTCAATCAATCTCTCCGACCACACATGTTGGCTTGCCTGTTCACATGAAGCTTGATCTTACTGCTGCTGCAGCTACTGTTGTTGTCGTTTTCTTGTTGAGTGTTGTTTTACTTAGTTGCTATTTCCCCCTTTGCTTTTTTTTTTTTATTGAGAAAGAAAAATGTAGTCGACAACACACGTGGTTTGTCTTTGTACAGGTTTATTGCCGCTGGTGTTACTGTTGTTATTGTCATCGTAGTTGGTGTTTTTGATGTTCTCCACCTCTTCCTCCTCCTCCTCCTAGTTAAGTTGACGGGGAAGTGGTTGCTAATGGAAGGTTTTTTGTGGTTTCTTGTTGCTTTGTTTTGTTGTTTTTTTCTTTTTTTTAGGGGAGGGGAAATGGGTCCGGAAGAAGAAAAACCATGTAAGAGTAAGAGGATTCTTATTTCTGTGTAAAACTAAACACTAAAATAACCAGTGCACTTAGGTCATATATAAGTGCCAAAGCTCGGAGGAGTCACAAAAAGGAGGAGAAAAGGACGATAGATGTTTGACAAGAAAGAAGGAGCAAACCACACCAAAGCACCCGCCAACCACCCACAGGCTGTGCTGTAACAAGTCATAAGAATTAAAAAGAGCTTAATAAGCTTATTCTGATACAGATTACACTATTTGGTCGCTTTTACTTTTAAGCACAAGGGGGCTATCCCGAAAAATGTTGTTTTGAGAAAATCGAAGTTAAAGTTTTTGGATCCTCATTACGTTTCTTTAATACAAGGAGAGTTTTCTCTGCAACCAAACAAATATACACACCAATGAAACCAAAGTTCTCGTATAGTCTATAGGTAAGGCAATGCCCACTTTTGCTCTAGGTCAAGATTTCTGGAAAACCCCGAAATCTGAGTTAGCCCGCTTGTCCTTGATTAAAAGCGACCATTTATCACTGAGAGGTTATTTATTCAGTATGTCTCAACAGTGCACTGAATAACCGGGGCCCCTTCTCATTCAATAGATGTTGGTGCTGAGGTACCAAAAAAAATGGCTCCTTGGCATGATACGCCAAAATATTTCCCCACTAGTGAACATACAGACAATTAAACAAACGGTTAGGCAATGCAAATTGAAAAGGACAAGAAAATAAAAATGACAGACCACACCCAAGGCGACCACCGACCACTCGCAATAATTAGACTTTAACCCTATCCGTACATCGTGTTTTACTATCATATCCATACGACGTGGGGAACCCTGTGCCACTAGTTTCCAAAGAAGAAATTTACTCGTTAATCTGATCCGTACGCTTTACATGGCAGTCTGTCAAAATCATTTTTGGAGAAATACTGAAAGTTTCAAAGAGATCTTTGTACTAGAAGTATTCTAAAATGTGAAGAATACAACCCCGGGGGTACAAAATGACCCTAGGGCGTACGGATAGGGTTCAATGAAATGGGAGTGACTCAGCACATACCACAAAGTCCTCTCAATGTCCATACCAGAACTCAAGGGGCAGCAGGAAATGAGAAGAAAATTAAGTTACATTGCACAATGCTTCATCGTGGCGCCACATAGATCATGCAGTTTAGACAGCCTTGGAGAAGTCTTTAAAGAAAGTTGAGAGAGAGAGACTGAGAGAGAGAGAGAGAGAGAGAGAGAGAGAGAGAGAGA